GCCGCAGCAGGACTGGCTCCGTGTTCATCCTTCCCCATGTCACCCTCTGGCAGGCGGGGTGTCCGATCCAGGGACCGTATGCTGCAGGGCCGGGTCTGTTGGGGCCTGCTCCTCACGATGGATCCCTCAGGGGGTCCCGGGGCCGAGCACTGGCTCTCCAGGCACTGAGCTTGGTACCGGCGGTGGTCAAAGGAGGGAGTGTAACAGGAGCCAGCTAAAGCTGGGGGTGGGGAGAGGGTGCTTGGCGCTCCCCACAGAGGCCCCCACAGCTTGCTCACCATCAGCCCCAAGGCTTTCTGGCAGCCCTCGAGTCCTGCACCCCCTTCCCCATCTTGCACATGGGGAAGCTGGGGCCAGAGACTTGAGATTAGAACCCAGGCACCTCTGCCAAGAAAGCACAGCTAAATCCAACCCTGTGCTGAGGGTTTGTAAGGACCCCAAGGACCGACTGCCACCTGTCCAGGCCTCACAAACACCTCACAGATGAGGACGCTGAGGCACAGAAGGGCTCACTCCCTTGCCTAATTATCTATCTAGGTGGCCCAGCTGGCCTGTGACAGTGTAAGCTCATCAAGGACAGAGTCCTGGTCTGCGCCCAGCATGGGGCCTGGACTAAGGAGGGCCTCTGGGAGCTATTGTCAACTGAGAATGGATCTAATGGCTTGGGTTACAGGAATGACGGCAGCCAGGGACAAGTCACAGCCCCTCCTGAACCCTCAGTTTGCCATCTGCCAATGGGGGTGTTGGCCTGGCTTACTCGGTCTATCCAGCTCTCACACCCAAGGTTGAGCACAAAGCTGCTAGCCCTGCCTGGAAGGACACACCAGCCGTTCCTGTAGCCCCAGCGCACGTGTTCCCCATGGAGTCCTGGGCAAGGCCAGGGCCAGTGCCATGGAGAAGACAGAGGAGAGGCTGGAATCTGGAGATACCTCTGCCTCGATGTCTGTCAGGAGAACACACAGTACAAGGGCAGGCAGCCTGGGTCCCAGCTCTGAAGCTCATTCCTTGTGACCACAGGGACCGGCTGCATCCATGTGAGCACTGGACCAACTGCCTAGTCCCTAGGGGGTGGGGACGGCAGGCATGTGTGTGTCCCATGTGCTAGGCCTGGCATCGCTGTGGAGCTGACGGGGCAGCCTGGGCCCCACAGCCCAGAACCTGTACAGACTGCACAGGCCAATTCACGAAGGAAGGAGGGAGCCTGGTGGTCCCTGAGTCTTACTGACAGGAAAGATGCAGCCACAGAACAGGGAGGGGCCAAACAGCATGAAAATCATGCTGGTTTGAGCCCTAGAGAGCAGCAGGGTAGGGGCTGGATGATGTCTGGGGGGTGTGGGATGGTTGTGCCAGGGATGGAGTGGGGTCGGACATCAGTAGGAACTGGTATCAGCACTGGGCTTGAGTGAGTCTTGTACCCAAATGCCTCCCCACATCTCTCAGGGGTGGGGGTGGGGTTGCAATATGTGCAGGCTCCCAAAGTGTGTTCTTCCAGCAGCTACCATGCCTCCCTTTCCCTGCCACACACTCCAACAGGTCTGCATCCTGCCTCCTACTGGGTCCGAATCCCCTACCACTCTCCACGTGGCTAGGACTGCTCTCAGGTCTCCTCTAATCCCCCACCAATCTGCTGACAGATTCAGAGTCCCTAAAATGTCCTTGGAATAGGTGAACACCCATCTCCACTTGAGACATGCTGACACTGGCCCAGAAAGGGGTAGGGACCCCCAGGTCTCACCTCAAGCCAACAGGATAGTGGACATGGGTAGGGCACAGGCCCTGATGCCCCACCACAAGCATCTCCATCGCCCAGGTGGTTATTGGAGGGGGAGGTGGGAGGGAACCTGAGGGGGGGGTGTCCTGAGCCACAATGGAGCAGCAACCCTTTACCTGTGGCCACCACCCCAACAGACATGGCCTGAAGCCTGTAATGCCTACTGCTGGCATTGATGGCATGGCCCAGGGGCACGGGAGTGAGTGCCCCCCATCCTCTCGGGCCCTAGCAGCAGTCTGAGGCCCTGGACAAAGACAGAGCAGGACCAGGGTTGGAGCCCTGGGCTCCAGGCCATGGTATGGCATTGGGTGAGCCGTGTCCCTCTCTGGGTCTCAGTTCCTCATCTATAAAATGGGAAAGGTGGATGTGCCACCCAAGGCAGACCCTGCCAGGGGATCCCCAACTCCCTATGCCCTTCTTGGGTGGCAGCATGGGCTCTAGACTGTCCTTCTGAGAAGATATGTGGCCTTGGGCAAGTGATTTAGTTCCCTCACTGGGTGATAACAATGCCTACCCTGTACAGCTGTCGGAGTGTAAAGTGAATTAATGCAGATGCACAGCTAGCGCAGGACCTGGAGCTCAGCAGACAGCAGCTGCCACTTTCCCGCACCCTCCTCATCATCCCAACCTGAGAACTATTCCACCAGACACACAGCACCCCCTAGGGTGGACAGACCAGAAATCACCACCTCCCGGTTCTCATGGGACAAGGGACTGTTCACATCCTCTCAGCCAGGGTGCAGACCCCTCTAACACTCAGGGTTTGCAGGACGGTCCGGCACATGAGCCCTAGAGGGGTTGCCAGACTTTTTCTGTAAAGGTCAGATAGTTAATATTTCAGGCTTTACAAGTCACATGATCTCTGATACCTCTCAGCTCTGCTGTTATAGTGGAAAACAGCTGTAGACAGCACAAAAGCAAATGTATATGTCTGTGTTCCACTATTTACACAACCAGGCAACAGGCCAGACCTGATCCATAGTTTACCAACTCCTACCCTGGACTAAATCTGCTCTGGTCCGTTAAGCAACCTCAAAAGCATTAAATTGTTTTCAAGCAAGTTCACTGCATCCTAGAACAAAGCTCCAAAATACTTAAAGGAAAAAAACCAAACTTCAGCACGCCACAATATAAAACTGTCCGCTATCCAATAAGAAATTACCAGACACACAAATGAACAGAAAAATAATGACCTTTGTGAGAAAAAAAATCTCTCAAAACTAACCCAGCATAGCACAGATGTTAGAACTGGCAGCTACAACATGAAAACAGTGGTAGCTGTATTCTATATGTTCAAAAAGTTATCTACAGACAGGGAAGATATGTTTTAAAAACACCAAATTGAGCCTCAAGAGGTGAAACGAGTCAATGTTAAAGATGAAAAATACATGGGATGGGATTAATAGCAGAGCAGACACTATGGAGAAAAGATAGTGAACTTGAAGACATGTTAATAGAATGATCTAAAGTCACACACATAGAAAGAGACCGAAAAACAGGGTCAGGGCTTCAGTGAGCTGTGGGTCAACTGCAAAGGTGTAACAGAAGCTGAAGTAAAGTCACAGAAGGAGCCGAGGCAGAGGGTGGACGGGGGCAAGAGAGCAAAACACGCCAAAAATGATGGCCATAACATTTCCACATTTGATGAGAACTACACATCCACAAGTTTAAGAAGTTCAATGAATTCCAAGCAGAAGAGACATAAAGAAAACTACACCAAAGCACAGCATAACCACATCACTTAAAATCAGTGACAGAGAAAATCTTAAAAATAGCCAGAGGGGAAAAGACCTTATACAACGAGGAACAAGGTAAGCAGGTTTGTCCTCAGAATTGAGGCAAGCCAGAGGACACGGGGCAACACCTTAAAGGTCCTAAATGGAAAACTTAACCTAGATTCCATACCCAGTGAAAATAGCTTTCAAAATCAAAGATGAAATAAGGACCTTTTCAGACATACAAATACCGACAGACTTCATCTCCAGCAGACCTGCACTACAGTTGTTGTACAGATGGAGGGGCTGAGACTCCAGGGGGGCTGCTGCCGCCTCCATAATGTCCAGTCCTCACCCCCTCACAGGGATCTGAAACAGACAGGTATTGCTGCTATCCAGCCCCTCACCCCTCTCTAGCAGGAAGGCTGGGCAGACCTGGCTGCAGGGCCAGGTCTATTTCCCACGTTTTTGACATGGACATGCTCTCCTCCCTGGGTGCTTGCAGGATTAGTGAGGTACCATATGAAAGACCAGGAAGGTTCTCCAAGAATTGAGGATGCTTCCTGGGTGCCCCTGGCCCTACTGTGGGCAGTGTTCCCCCTGACTCTTGGTGCTCTCCAAACCAGTTTGCCCATCCTCTGGCTCTAAAGGTCACCGAGTTTGGACCTACTTCTCTGTAGACAGGGAGCAAGGCTGTGACTATAGTAACACACGCTGACCCAAGCCAGGGCCAGCTTGCTGACGCTTGCACAGAACCAAGAGGGGCAGTGATGGCCACTCATGTTTTCGGGATGGAGAGCCAGTCAGCTGACAGCAGGGGACTTCCCTTCCCAGGCTCCTCTCTCAGTGGGGGATCCTGCATGTATTCTAACCATGGCTCCATCCACCGCTTCCCAGAGCCACCCTAGGTCCTGATATAAATCCCTGACCATCAGCACTGCCCAGAGGGTAAATGCTTCAGGGCCTCCCATCTCTGCCACTCCTTCCCTGGCTGGCCTATAGCTGGGCACTTCCCCATTTGAAGCCTCAGTTTCTCTTCTTGGGAACATTGGGAGTTGGATTGGATGATCTGAGGTCTCTCTCCTCTAATATTTACCAGCTCTGGTACCTTCCCCACTCTCCAGAATATTAAGATAGAAGCCTCATTAGGGCCAATTAAAGAAGGCTCAGGCCTCCTGAGCACCAAGTGGCCAAAGCAAGATGGGGTCAAGAACATAATGGTCGCGCCCAAGAGCCCTGCGACTCGGTGGCCTGGCTCAGCCGAGCGGTGTGGGGCCCTGCCCTTGTCTCCAGCCTTCCCCGTAGACACCTGTGCCTCCTCACCGCGGCTCAGGAAGGTAGCAGAGATAGGAGCTGGCAGCACAGGGAAGGCCATCAGGCGACCAGGGCTGTGCCCTGTGGAGAAGATAAGAGGACAAGGTGCTCCCTCTTCCTGCTAGTCTCAAGGGGCCTCATAGTCCTCCAAGCTTCCAGGCCTGCAGGTGCAGGATCCAGCTAGCCAGACCACCCCACAGTTGTCAGTGAACGGCATAAAGTGAGGATTTTCAAACTGGAAAATGTGAGAATCATAAGTTCAAAAGCCTTTAAAAACCTTAGCTTCTCCAGGGTCCAAGAGCGACAGACACTGTGGAGCCATTGAGCATCCCGAGCCCCCGAGACTAGCCTAGAAAAGACTTGCCCAAAGTCACACAGAAAGCCAGGGGAGGGCTGTGGCCCCGAGCCACCTGATGTCCACATCCTCTCTGCTGCATTCCACCAAGCCCCTGCTTAAACTCCTCTGGGATGGGGAGCTCACCACTTCTCAACCCAGACTTCTCACAGAGAGAGGCTGTCAGGAGAGGTGTGAGGAAAAAGGTAGAGGGAAGGCAGGAAGAGAGCTGGCATTTACTAAATGCCATGCCAGCTCCTTGCCAGATACCACACCAAGTGCTTTGCATGCCCCTTGAAATCTCACCACAACTTTGGCACTGAAGAGGAAGGAATGGAGGGTCAGAGAGGCTAAGCAACTATCTCAGGGTGCATAGCAAGACAGCTATCTCTGGGGCTCAAGCCTGGATCTGCATGATACTGAAGCCTGTCTTTCCTCTGCCCCTCATGGCATTTAAGCTGGGAAGGTGCCTGAGCCTGGGGATCATTCGGACCCCACTAAGGAGGCTGCTGCAGCCCACCCAGGCCAGGGCCTGCTGAGTGTGGTCCTGGTGCACTTATCATCCTGTGGGTGCTTATGACTGTTACTACCTCGAGACAAGTGTCCAATTCCCATTTTATAGATGAAGAAACTGAGGCCCAAGATCATGCAGCAAGGAAGTGGCTGAGCTGGGCAGGTGAGCCAGAGGCCTCTGAGAGGACCAGCCCCCCTCTGCTGGCCTAGGGGGAGGACCCTGGGCTTCAGGGTGAGCCTGTCAGACCAGGGAGACTGGGGTTCTGTGGAGCCAGTGCAGGCTGGCCACACCAAAGAGTCTGGCACGACCTTCGGCAGGCCTCGGCCTGCTCTGAGCCTCCATAGCCTCATCCGTGACAGGACTATGACGACAGGCCCGCCTCACAGGGTCGAGGGAGGGCAGGGCCTGAAGGTGTGGGGCTGCCTGCGGCGTGCTTGGGGAGCCAGGTGTGCACCCAGCCCAGAGGTGCCGGCCCTCCTTCCTGGCAGAGCCACTCCTGGCTCTCCCCAAACTCAAGTAAGATGCAATTGCCGTTGGGTAGGAAGCCTTTGCAGAAGACAGGAGCCAGCACCAGGATTATGTTATCAGATGGTTCCCCACCTGGCAGGTGAGGGCCTTGAGCCCTGGGATGGGAATTGCCATAGGAGGCAGGAGGCAGCTCCCTAGACCTACTAAGTGCCCTGGGATAGCTGACTGGGCTACCCTGGGGCCTCCTGAGGTGTTGAAGCTGTCCTGGTGCTGCCTAGCTCAGGGACAGTGAGAGCCTTCCCTTCTGGTCCACAGGGATCCACAGTGGTCTTGGCTCCCCGCCACCCTGTCCTCACCAGTCCCCATGTGGTCAGATTGTTGGTCCCTCAAGGGGAGCCCAGTGTTTGGGAGCCTAGTGGGGACAAGAAGAATGATGAAAATACTTTACTGTCCTGAGTCAAGCTGGGGAAAAGCAGCGAGGCTCCAAGGTTCCCATGAGGGCCTGGCTCAGAAAGAATAGCCAAGATGCTGCTTCTCCTGGGAAAGGGGGCTCAGAGCCTGCAGACCTGGGTTCTGGGCCCATCTCCTTCAGTTATCAGCTCTGTGACCTTAGGCAAGTTATTTGAGAGGTCAGCCCCACCAGGCCTCAGTGTCCTCATCTGCATACCTACTTTATGGAATTGCTAGGAGGATTACAGTGTAGGTCATGTGCCCACTCAGCACCTGGCATACACCTGGTGTTTAATAAATGCCTCGTTAAAGTGTTTTCATTCTCCTGGAGTTAAGCCATCAGCCAGGACTCAGTGTGTGACAGCAGGGGCCTGAGAGGAAAGATGTGGGCTTAATGAGGCATTGGTGAGACCAGCCTCCTGCCCTTCCTGCTGGGTGGCTCTAGGCAAGATACATAACTTCTCTGGTTCTCTGTTCCCAAGCCCTGGACTAGCTGGCATGAAGTCACTTTCTAGTCTAGCCTTGGCCACTCATTCTGCCTCAGTTTCCTCATCTGTGTGTGACTGGCCCCTGCCCCTAGGGGCCTCCCCCTGGGCTGGCAGGCTGGTGAAGGGATCCTACTAGGGGCTCTGGTCCTGTGTTGTGTTTGGGGGGCAAGTGCCCCTCCTCCCCTCTTGACCCAGTCCAGCCTCTCCCCTTCTCTCAGAGGCTGTAGCCAAGCGAGGCTGGGGCTCGTCCCTCCTAGGCGTGACGCTACAGGCCCAGCCTCTGGTATGCAGCTGAAACCCCATAGCAGTTTTCCTCCCCAGATAAATCACTGGCTTCTGGGGGCAGGAGGGTGGGCAGGATGGCCTTCTGTCTTGGAAAGCTGGAGCCCAGTGGGGCTGGAAGATGTCTCAGAGAGCACAAGCTCAGACAGCCAGTGGAGTCCTCTGAGACCCAGGACTCACCCATCTCTGCCCAGCCTGGCTTCAGGTGCCCTAGAGGAGTCTAGACTCAAGGGGCAGTAAGGTGTCAGAGCTGACGGGACGTTAACAGTGTTCAATGACTGTATCCACTTTATAGATGGGATGACTGGGGCTCAGAGAGAAGCTTGGGCTTGTGCCAGGTCACACAGTGGTGGAGGCAGAGCAGGGACCTGGCCCAGCACTCTTGGCTTCTTATACTGTGGCCTATTAGTTCTGTTCTAGTTTTTTGGGAAAGGGGGGACCTGATGGTAGCCCTGACAGGAACAGTTTCCCAGGTCCTTGCCCACAGTCTGCCTGCCATGCTGATGACAGGCCAGGCTGAGGAGGTGGTGGCCTGGGTTTCCCTGCCTCAGTGCCAGCAGCCCCAGCTCAGGTGCCACGGTGGGAAGGGGTCCAGTGTTCCAGCCAGGTGGGTGGACAGTGGGATCCCCATTCTTGGACTGAGAAGGGGGGCATTCTTCCTGGTACCAGGAGTGAGAGGAGGCTTTGGGGGTGAGGGAGAAAGAAGTGATTCATGGGAAAAGAGAAGGCAGGAAGAGCTCCAAGGCGGGAGGCCAGGCAAAGGCTCCGTCAGCATTTGTCAGCATCCGTCTGCCACGGCCCAGCCCCTTGGAGCCTGGGAAGCAGCCAGAGCAGGAGCAGGGGAAATGGGAGGATTGCAGGAGCTTGGGTGAGCTGCCCCTCCCTGTCCTGCCAGGGCCAGACAGGATGGGCAGGAGACCTGTCCTAGAGCCTGGAGGACAACACAGGCCTGGTCCCCACCCCTTCCACACAAGAACTAGCTAGGTGACCTTGGAGGGACTAACCAGTCAGGCCTAGGTTTCTACATCTGAAAAATGGGGCAGATAACACTACCGGAGATTATAAAGTGCCTCGCACTCAATAAACAGTAGCTATTGTTATTACAGATGGCTTACCCACATTGACCTCAGGTGCCAGGATGGATGCTACAGGGAAGCAGAAGGGCTGGAAAGCAGAGGCTTGGTACAGCACGGTGCTGTGGGTGGGAGCAAATCCCTGTCTTCCCTGTGCCTCAGCATCCCATCTGAGGGATGAGGCGCTTGGCCTCCATTGCCTCTGAGACCCCTGTTGTTGGGCCTGCAAGGCTCCCTGCTGTCTGAGGGTGTCAGTCTCAGCAATGAGCCCCCTTCTTAGAGGGATGAAAGTGGTGGCGATGCCTAACTGTCGGGGAGCTGCAGGAGGTTAAACCTGAGATGGACTTCTTCCTGGTTATGTCACCTTAGACAGGTGACTCCCATAACCTTGTGGGGTTTTGCGGGGATCAAATAAAGTTATGGGAGGGCCCATAGGACTACATGGAGTGGCTGGGTCTCAGCCTGGCCATAGAGACATGGGGAGGCCGCCCTGAGTGCCCAGCCTGGCCCCAGGCACTCCTATCTGGCCTCATCACTGAGCCAGGCCGTCTGTCTTTCTGTCTGGGGGAGATTAGACTCGGCTGTTCCCATGCCAAGCTGGGATCTGGTGTCGGCCTACTTCCTACTCCCGGTGGGGAGGAGAGGGTAACACGAAGGGGAACCCTGACACAGCAGGTCAAGTTTCCTTGGCCTCAGTTTCCCCAATTTTATGAGGGGGGGTGGAGGCTAGGTAATGGATCCCAATAGGCCCTCCCAGGGGACTGGGCTTCACGACCTCAAGCGACACCTGTGTCAGCAGCACCTTTGTCTCCCACAGCAGGTGTGGGACAGGTTATTCAGGCTGAAGGCCCCTTCCTGCTCCCCCTCCTCCTCTCCTTCCAACTCCTCCTCACTCCGTCGCCCGCTTCCATCTTCACAACAGCCGAGGATGCAGCCTTAAACTCGTCACCTCCACTTTGCAGACCAGGAGCGCGCAGCTCCAGCGCTGCCTGGGCAGCCGAGAGCCGGGCTCCCTGACCGGCTGTCTGGCTCGGCAGCTCCCTCAGGAGACAGAAACTCCACGTTTCTGGAAACCTAAGCTGTGCTACCTCCTCAGCTCCTGATCCACTTCTGGATTCTTGGCTGAAGAGCTCCCCCAGCCTGTCTGTCAGCCAGGATGGTCCCCAAAGCCAACGTTCAGTGCAATTCGCTGCCCCCTCTGGGCCTGGAACAGTGAAGGGGTTAGATTCCACCAGAAATACCTTGCCCACAACCCAAGGCCAGGCCAGACATTGCTAATCACTCACTGCTCTCTACTGAGCCACGACCCGGCCTCAGAATCCTTCTCAACACAGCTAGCTAGGCAGCCTCTGCTGGTGACGTCAGGATGTGCTCTGCAACCATGAAAAAGGCACTTCCATCAGCAGGAAGAAGCATCGCTCAAGGTCACGGCTGTCCAGCAAAGGCCTGGCTGTCTCTGCAAGCAGCGAGCTCCTCTTTTCAGAATATGAGTCAGTGTGTCAACTAAGTACCCATGCCAGGGACACTGTGCAGCTCAGCAAGGGTCTGGAAGGGGAGGTCAGACAATGCCCTTCCAGTGGAGAAATTCAACCCAGGTGGACAACCCTCACCTGAACT